AAGAGAGTCCCAAGGCGGCCCCAAGAGCGCCCAAGAGCGCTCTAAGAGCGGGCCAAGAGGGTCCCAAGACGGCATTTTTGAGCCTCCGAGGGGGGGGGGGGGCAAGAATTGCTCCCCTCCCCCTCCCCCCCTTCTTTAGCCATAAAGACCAAGGCGCCCCCGAGAGGCCTCCCAGAACTCCCCCAAAGAGCCCCGAGAGGGCTCCAAGACCCTCCAAAAGAGACCCAAGAGGGCTCCAAGAAGGCCCCAAGAGGACCCCAAGGGCGCCCCAAGAAGACCCTAAGAGGACCTCAGGAGAGCCCCAAGAAAGAGCCGCATGAGGCCCCAAGAGGGGCCCAACAGAATCCCAAGAGGGCCCCAAGATGCCTCCAAGTTTCGGAACGCACGCGAGTTTAAGATACAAATCAGTGCAACAGCCATTACGAGTCATCGAAATACCCCTCACCTCTCATCGAAGCACCATCGAAATTTGCACCCATTTCAATATTAAACTTCAATGCGGGAGAGCGCTCCGCCCACTCTGAAGTGACGATCCCCACGCTGACGAACACTAGGAAGATTGCTGCGGGGAGCGAGCTATTCGTCAAGCCAGGTGCACCCACTAGCAAGGAGGCCGACGCTTCTAAGAAGCGCAGGACTTGCTGAGTCCACAGCCTGGAGGCGCAGAGTTTTGTATCGCATTGCGCAGCACGAGGATGTTTTTTTCAGGAGCACTGCGTGCTGCAGGCTCGCGGTTCGGGCGTTAGTCGGGGAGGGGTGGCGGGAGGGAAGGATGGGAACTCAAGGGGTGGAGGCGGCTTCCGCTCTGAACCATGATGGGCGCAGCAAGTAGGAGGGTGGAGTTTGCCGCCCACGCGGATCGGTTCGCTTGACCCGCCTCTCAATGTCGCTGCATCGATGCATTTTTTTGAGACAGCGGCTCTGACGAGAGGTGGCCGCATCCGACAACTGCGGATCACCGCGACGCAAGTGCAGAGCTGCGGTGCCTTCAATGACAAGGCTAGGCGCGATGATAAATGCAAAGAAGGCCCCAGACCCCCCAAAAGAGCCCCAAGAGGGCCCCACGACGCTCCAAAAGAGCACCAAGAAGCCCCAATAAGGCCCTAAGAGGACCTCAGGAGAGCCCCAAGAAAGAGCCCCAGGAGGCCCCAAGAGGGACCCAAAAGAATCCCACGAGGGCCCCAAGATGCCTCCAAGTTTCGGAACGCACGCGAGTTTAAGATACAAATCAGTGCAACAGCCATTACGAGTCATCGAAATACCCCTCACCTCTCATCGAAGCACCATCGAAATTTGCACCCATTTCAATCTTAAACTTCAATGCGGGAAGCTATGTGATGCTTGCGTTCTCGAAGACGGCTGCGCGACTGCATGCGTTCTGCCGCCCCTGATTCACTCACTCCCCTGCTGATCGTTTCTGGATGGTGGGGACACGCGAAGCGTCAAGAATTCCCCCCCCTCTTCGTCCTCCCCCTTCTCCTCCGAGGGGGGTGGGGCAAATTTGGGGGACCCCCCCCCCCCGACCAACCAGCAAAGGAGAATGCACTTGGACCCCGACAGCAAGCAGCAGAGGCAGCAAGTGGAAACGGTGGCAGCAAAACACTGCCACCCTCCTCCCCCTCCCCTTCCTCCCCCTCCCCGCCGCTCCCGTGCACCTGGCCCGCCCCCTCTCTGCTCCTGCCTCTCCTCCTCTCTTTTGCTTGTGGGCAAGAGAGAAACATGTCGGATGGTATCCGAGTTGGCCCACTTAGGGTAACCACTCGGTCCCACTTAGCCTGGTTAGCTTAACCACTTACCAACCGACATCCAAGGACAACCCACAACATACGAAACGGGATCCGTTGATATCCCCATAAACAGCTTACCCCATATAAGATAGGAGAATCACATGCACATGCATGTAGCCCAACCGCTTAGCAAGCGCAGCGGCCATCGCAGTGGGAAGGCCCGCCACTTCTCGCTTCCCCCCTCGCTCGCCGCCGACCCTCTTGGAGGGCGGATGAATGCGCATCCGTAGTGAGGACCCGTGAACACCCAAACCCCCTCGCGCCGTGAGAAAACCGCGGAGGGAGGTCTTTCGCAACTTTCGGCCTCTGGGGGCCCTCGCGGGGCCTCGGGACCGTCAACAAAACGACTCCGGACGAAACACCGGTCCCGGGGAAGGGGTCCAGACAGACCTCCGGGGGTCGACGTCGTGAAAAAGTCACGGCGTCGGGGGTCTGGGCACGAGGCGCCCACAGACGGCATCGACCGAGACACGAGGGCGCTCGGTGAACGCAGGGGTGGGGGGCTCCTCGGCAGGCACGCACGCAGGGTCGGGGGTCGGGGCGGGTCTTGCCCAGTGGACCTCTGGCCCCGCGGGCGGCCCGCGAAGGTCTCCGCCTTCGCGCTGGCCGACGGCACGAGCTGGTGGATCCGCAAGGCGTCCTCGATGGGCCTGTCCGCGTCGGAGCCGGACCCCTCCGCGTCCGAAAACGGCGCGCAGGCGTCCTCGCCGTCTCTGTGAGGCTTTCTGGCAAGGGCCGGGCTGAAGTCGCGCATCTGCCTGGCCGCGAGGCCGCCGCCCGCGGCGCCGCCCTGCCCCGGGTGCACGTAGGCGCGGCGCCCAGGGTGGACCCCGAGCTCCACCTCGTCCGACGAACGCAGCAGCGCTTGCACCATTCGCCCAGCGAGGCGGTCCCAGCGCCTCTGCAGCTGCTGGAGCGCGACGCCAGAGCTGCGCTTGAGGGCCTCGGAAGAAAGACCGCGTCCGAACAGCAGGTCCCGGAACTCCTGATCCTGGTCGGGCAGCCTCGACTCCATCAGCATGCACGCGCCCTCCAGCAGCTTCTCGAGCTCGCCGCGCTTGAGGGACTCCACCATGGCAACCAGCTCGTCGAGGCGGGCGCTGCGGTGCCGGATGCCCTGAAGCAGTCGCACGAACGCGACGCGCTCGCACATGCCGCTGCCGTAGCCGACGGGGGGCGGGAGCTGCCCGCGGATGTACTGCAGCGTGCGGTCCCAGCTGCCGCGCGCGCAGGCCACCATGTCGTCCAGCTCGCCCGCGACGGCCTCGAGCTCCTCGGGGGGCGGCGCCCGCACGCCGAAGCTGGGGACGTGGAGGCCGGCCGCCGCCGGCGGCGAGGGCAGAAGAAGCAAAAACCCCATGAACAGAAACTCTTGGCGCTCCGCGCGGGGTGCTTGGATCTGCGCCGGCACCCTGCCTCCCCGGCGCGCGGAGCGCGCCAGGGGCGGCGCGGAGGCGCCGCCCGCGGGGGCCCCCGGCGCGGAGCCCAGAAACCCGCGCGGAACGCCAAAACTTTCTGCCTACGGCGCCTTGTCCTCCTTCGGGAGGGGGCCCCGGGGCTGTCGCCGCGGCTGCCGGGGCCCGGGGGCGTCGAGGCGGCTCGGGGCTGCCCGTGCAACTCGCCGGAGGGCTCGAGCGCGGCCGAACCGCGGGAGGGCGCGGCCGAGCCGCGGGAGGGCGCGGCCGAGCCGCGGGAGGGCGCGGCGGCCTCGATGGAGGAGCCGCGCGAGGCGTGCGTCGCGGCCTGCTCGAGGCCGGGGCCGCGGTCGCGGCCCAGAACGTAGGAGAGGCTGGCCTCGATGGAGGATTTGTTTTGTTTTGTTTTGTTTTGTCTTGTTGTTGTACTCTCATTTCTGAAACAAAATATTGTTGATCCCCCCCGTCCGGTGCACATTGATTTTTTCAATTGAAGTGCCCTCCCGGGGCTCGTACTCTGTTTTTTATCTGGGAAAGTCTTGAAGGTCAAACTGTGTCGTTGGCCCCCGGTTTACAACAACAACGGCTCCCGCCTGAGACTTCCTTTCAATTTAGCCAGGACCCCCGCTCCCGCCCGGAACTTCCTCGAGTTTTATTCAGGAATCGCGCTCTCGCTTGGTACTTCCTTAGAATGTATTATCCCGGCGCTCTGGAGTCGCGCTCTCGCTGGAGACTTGCTTGCAATTTACTGAAGAGTAGCGCCTTGCGTTGGAGCTTCCTGCAATTTACTCAAGCGCCGCGCTCCCGACACCCAGGCACCCAGGAGTCGCGCTCACTCTTAGGACTCCCTCACAGATTACATAGGAATCGGGATCTCGCTGCCCTTCGTGGCCCCGATGCAGCCCTTCGTGGCCCCCTCGTTTTGTTTCGTGGCCCCGTTGCAGCCCTTCGTGGCCCCGTCGCTGCCCTTCGTGGCCCCATCTATGTATGCCCTTCGTGGCCCCCGCTCGTTCGCGCCCGTGGTGGCCCCATATGCATGTCCTGCGTGGCCCAGTTGCTACCCTCAGTGGCCCCATCGTTGCCTTCTGTGGCCCCGCATTATCTGCCCTTCATGGCCCCCGCCGTTGCCCTTCGTAGCCTACGCATTCGTGGCCCCATATGTATTCCCTTCGTGTCCCCGCCGTTGCCCTTCGTAGCCTACTTCGTGTCCTTGTGGCCCTGCTGTCGTTTTCTTTCGCTCTCGCTTTCGCTCGTCGCCGTCAGCGTCGACGTCGTCGCCGTCGCCGTCGTCGTCGACGTCGTCGTCGTCGTCGTCGTGGTCGGTCCCCTGTCCGTCCCTCCTGGGGTCGGGTCGACGATCCGCGGCCGCCCCGCCGATCAGCGCTGCCGCTGGCCAGGCCGACGGTCCGCGGCCGCCCCGCCGCTTGCCGGGGCCCAGCCTGCAGGGAAGAAAGGCATACCCCCCAAAAGGGTATCGATCGAAGACGAAGAGGGCGGGCATCGAGGGTTTGGGAAATAGGCGTTATTGGACACTCGAGCAGATAAGGGCGAACAATCTAAAAATTATTGTTGTTGTTGTTGATGATGGTGTCTTTCTTCTTCGTCCACAACGCGAGTTCACGCTGGCTTGATAGAGGAAGAAAAACGCCATAAACATAAACTTGTGGCGCTTTGGGATCTGCTCTGGACCCCCTCCCTGGCGCGTGGAGCGCGCCAGGGGCGGCGCCGGAGGCGCCGCCAGGGGGGTCCCAACGCAGATCCAAGAAATCCGCGCGGACCGCCAAACATTTATGTAGATGCCGATGTTTGTTCCTCGATGTTGCTTCCTTCACGACACCGGCCCACGCTGGCGTTGTCATGTTGAGCGTGGAAGGTGGTCGGGGCACGTGCCCGGAGCAGCGAGCTGTCGGCGGACGCGAGCTTCACGCCCGCACGGCCTCGATGGAGGAGATGGCGGCGGCCGCCTCCTCCTCCGTCGCCCCCGCGGTGGCGGCCCTGTCGAGCCGCCCGCGGATCCCGGCCGCCTCCGTCGGGCCCCCGCAGAAGGACTTGCTCGCCTGCGGCCGACGAGGAGGGCAGGCAGGGAGGCCCCAACGGATCTCCCGCCCTCCTCCCTCGCCTCATCCCATCCCTGTAGGGGGACGAACCATGGCACGAACACCAAAGCTCGAAGGTCCGCGCGGAGCGCGCCAGGGGCGGCGCCAGAAGCGCCGCCAGGGGGGTCCAGCGTCGATCCGAGAAACCCGCGCGGACCTCAGAGTTTTTATGTTTATGTCATTGCCCGTTTCCCTAATCCCATCCCTACCTCCCTCCCTGCCCTAGCCTTCGGGGCCCCCCTTACCGTTTCGACGTGCACGTTCTCCGAAAGCCCTCCCCCCCGTGGCCTGGCGGCCCGTCGCGTAGAACGCTCCCGCGAAGTTAGCCAGGCGCGCCATTCCGACCATCGCAGCCCGCACGTCGTCGGGGCTTCGATGGCAGACCTTCGGCGAAGTGACCTCTGCCGCGAGCCTCGAAGACTCCTCGAGCAGGCCCCGCAGCTCGTAGACCTCCAGCTCCATTTCGTTCAGCTGCTCCGAACGCTGACCCAGGGCGTGTATGAGGGATTCCGTGACACGGTCGATGTCCTCCTGGAGGGCATCCTCTGCGAGTGCCCGCTCGGTGCTCGACCCGTGGTCGGGCGCCCCCGCGGGCTCTCCGCTGTTGACGGAAGCGGCGGCCGCTGGCCCCAGCATCGCAGTGGTCGCCTGGGCCCCAGGCGGCAGGCTGGCGGCAACCACTGCCAGGCCGCCCAGCGCACCCGAGGGGAGCTCGGGGCCGGCACCTCCGCGGGCGCTCCCTCGGATGGGTGCGCCGCGCGCGCTCGCCGCGTCGGCAGCGGGCGCTTGCACCCCAGCGCTGCGCAGCGCGGCCTGGCTGCTGCTGCGCACCTCCAGGAGGGCTGCGCCGTGGCCACCGCCGTCGCCGCCCTCGCCAGGAGCGCCGAACGAGGGGGCATGGCCACCGCCTTGCGACACTGGAGACTGGCCCTGCGCTCTTGCGCTTCTGGCAGCCCGTTGGACTGCATCAGCGTTGTCGCCAGGGCTACTGGACCAGATGGCCTGGCCGCCGCTGGACGACGCTGGAAGCGGGCCCCCCACGCTCATCGCGGCATCAGCCGCTCGATCCCCGCTTCTGCGCTCGCCAGGGTCGCTGGGAAAGGTGGCGTGGCCACCAGTGCCGCCCATGCCATGGGCGGATGCCGGAACGCCGTGGCTCTGGGTGCTCCCCCCGCCGCGGCCATCGCCCAGGTCGTAGGCGGCGTCTGCCACTGGCACGAGGCCGCGGCCACGGGCGCTTAGCTCCCCGAAACTCCCGTCGTCCCCCTCTCTGAGGACGGCTGCCGCGGCGAGGCGGAAGCCGCTGCCGCCGCCCCCGCTGGGAGAGGCAGGCGCGGCGCGGGCTGAGGCGCCCCCGCCGGGGGAGCCGGGCGCGGCGAGGCGGGACATGCCCCAGCGGTTCCCTCCGGGCGACCCTGGCGGGGAGCCCGGCAGAGGGGGCTTCGCAAAAGTCTTCGGAGACGTGCCCCGCCTGCTGCTGGGCGGATCAACACTGCCGCCGTGCGCCGCCGCAGCCGTGACGGGCCAGGTCGTGTTGCCTTCGGCGCCGTCGCCCTGCGCTGCGGAGTCCCCCATCCGCAGCTTCTGCTGGCCAAGTCCCAGGAGGGGCAGCCGCGCGGGGAGCTTCGACTGCACGTCCGCTTCGAGCACCTGCTTCAGGCCGTCGCCCGCGACCTCCTGACTGCTGGTCCCTTCTGCTCTGCGCTGCTGGCGCAGCTCCAGCTCCTTCCCGGCTACAGAGGCACGGAACGAGAGCGGGAGCACGACGACAGCGACGACGGCGACAGACACGACGACCATTTGACGAAGCGTTTTTTTTTGTTGCCGAGGGAGCTGCGACCCGTCCCTCCCGCACTCGACACGCCGTACCTCGGTGTGTTGGCCCTCCCTTGCTGGAGGGAGTCTTATCCGGAGCGGGGCGAGGAGGCTTTCTGGAGGCCTCCCCAGTGGGGTCCGAGCACATGGGGTCGGATGACCGCACCGGATCGCGAATGCATCGGCGATGCATCGGCGATGCATCGGCGATGCATCACCGACGTCGGCGACTCATCGGCGACGTCGGCGTGGAGAAAATCGGGTTCCGCATCGAGCCGCATCGCCGATGAATTAAACGTATGAATTAAACTTCGGCAAAATGACGCACGGAATTTAATGGTCCATTGCGTCGCGCCAGGTCTGCTTCCACGCTGCGCATGGCGTTGCGAACCCTTCCGCTCCGAGCTTCGATGCTGGCGGAAAACTGTCCAGGTGCTCTTGCCCGCAGCTCTGTGAATGTATTCCCTTGTTATTGCATGTCCTTTGCGGCGTCGTTGTTGAGGGCGCCTTCGCCGTCGGAAGAAAGCGCTCGTGCCGGGCCAGGCTTTCCGCGCCAACGTCGCTGGCAAGCGTCAGGGGGGATATATGGTCAAAGGCCTGGGCCGCCCCCCTCATGCTGATGCCATCGGGCCCCCCCGCCCCCCGCGTGATAGTCCCTCCCCCTGTGGTTGTGGTGTGGTGCTGTGGGTGCGGGCGTGTGTGGCGTGGTGCTCCAGGACAGCTCCAAAGGTTGTCGTCGTCGTCGTCGTCGTCGCGGTCGTCGTCGTCGTCGTCACCGCCGTCGCGGTCGCCGTCGCCGTCGTCGTCGCCATCGTCGCCGTCGCCGTCGTCGTCGTCGTCGTCGTCGTCGTCGTCTTCGTCGTCGTTGTCCCCCCCCATCTCATCATGGGAGGGGAGCCCGTGGAGCCATGGGACCCATCTCATCCTAGGGGGGGAGGGGGGGGGCCGTGGGCCCAGAGCCCAGGACCAGAAACATGTCCTTGTTCGGCACCTCTTGTCCAACGCCCCAGCGAGCGCACTTATCGATCGCATGGGACATAGCGTGCTCCTGCGTAGACCATAGCATGAACGCCTGCTTCCTCGCTTAATTGGCCCAGGGGGCTCACCGACGGAAGCGTTCGATATCCCCGACAGGTGTCGCGTGCACCCTTGCTCATATTTAGATGGGGGTCGTCCACGCCCGCCGAAAATATCAGCATCATCTTCGGCGCCTTGGCACGACGCTATCGCAGGCGAAACCTGTGTGGCTCTTTCTCGACCACTGCAGAAGCATAACTGCGTAAGTTGTTGCAAACTGTGCTGAACATTGAATCTGGTCCAATCGGGCAGTCGTGTAGAGCCCGTACCATTATTGGCACGACTCCGGCGCATTCGAGATGGGTTCTTTGGATCGGGTGGAAAGGATCTGTTGTTGGTGGAGATCGTTGGAGTCTGACACGTCGTTCTGCGACCTGCGTGGCGCCACGCGGTTGCATGTCTACACGCTCGGCAGGTGGTGCTGCCAGTGTCTTCTGCCGAAAAAGGTCGTAGCCACTCGCGTAAGCTGTGGAGTCAACGCTTGCGCGTGGACGTGAAGGTTTTGGATGTGCGTCTTGGCGTCTGGGCTCAAGGGCCGCCAGAAGTTCTGAGGCTTGGACCGCTGGCGGTCTCGGGTCATGACCAGGTGGCAGCGCCCATGCTTCAGCACATCTGCATTCGCCTGCTCTCCAAGTGTGTCCATTCAGTGTAGGTTTCGTTACAGACTAAGCAAAACAAGTACATCATATAATCGTGGTCGGGTCGGATCAGCGATCATGTTCGGGACTGCCCTGTCACCGGCCATCAAAACATGCAGCGCGCCCCCATCCACCTGGTGGTACACGATGTATCGTGAATAATGCCGTGTTGAGCGCTGGTGGGTCACCAAAACAAGCCGCTGCTTTTGGGGAAGCTTGCACGTATCCGTGTTGCGTGTCTCCACTCGACTTTCGCCTTGATAGCCAAGGCAGCTTCAACACTGGCCGACTGCATCTTGTGTGTGCACTGCGGCTGTGTTACCCTTATTGGAGCTCTCTGGGAACACTCCAGCGCTGCGCTGGAGGGTCCCAGCAGGGTCTCGAAGGGGCCTCAGGAAGGCCCCTTCTGGAATCCCAAGAACTCAGGAAACCTCGCGTTTGTGAGATGGCTGACCGTGTCGATGCCGGCCCTCGAAAACGAATCGTGCAAACGATTTCAGTATTGCCAGCTCGTTTGCCAAGATCTCTGATGGCCTCTTGATGCATTCGCCGCAATTGTCCTTTAAGCCAGTGGCGCATTGGTCCATGGTAAGCGTATTCCAATGAGGTCACTTAGTTGACCAAGACGGCTCTGCAGAGCCCAAGGAGAGACCCACGACTGACCAGAAAGGGCCCCATGACGACGTCCGTAGGCCGAGAAGTCCTCCCAAGAGGCCTCCAGAAGCACCCAAGAGGCCCGTACGAGGACCCCGAGAGGCTCCCAGGAAACCCAGAGGAGACCCGAAGAGTGCCTCAAGAGACATATTTGTCTTCCTTCATCCTCCTCGTCCCTTTTCTGTTCCCTTTCCTCGTGCTTTCTCGTCCTCTCCCAAGTGTTCCGCCAATGGGTTCCGCACCGGCTGGGCGAACACATAGCCCACCAGCTTGGCCAGACTTCGGCCCAATGTTTGGCCGCGTAGGAGTTTCCGAACTGTAGGGGGCGGTGGTGACTCGCCGTAGGCATCTTCGATACGATGCGGAGCAAACGAATTGATCTTACATTTCAATGTTCACGGGGCCAATATCAAATAAGGCCATGCGGGCCTAACGCGCGTGCACATGTCGAATTTCTTCCAAAACGAGTGTTTGCCCAACGTCCTCGGAACAGCAGCTGTCAACAAGCATTGTCTTGTCAACTGGACTGTGCCAGGCTTCAGTGCGCGCGATCTCGCTGACATTGCGCACAGAAATATGTGTCTGTGCAATTTCGGTGGCAACTCATGAGAGCATCCCATACCACCTGGTCGGCTCATGCGAGTCGACGCTAGATCGACGCTAATCGACACTGCATCGACGCAAACATCGACGCTGACCGACGCTAAGTCGGCACTATCTCATCCGCTCCCAGACGCTAATCGACGCAAGTCGACGCTGGAGACGGACTTAACAGGGTACGCCAGGCTCCCATGATTTGTTACCGAGGGGATGTGCACACAGACTTCGGCCTGGCCTTAGGTCGGGCATAGCCTCCGACAGGCGGATTTTGAGCGAAAAATGAGAGCAGTCAAATAACTATTCGAAACATTGTCCCCAGACTATTCCTTATTATTTTTGCATATTCCTCCTGTAGAGGGTACAGAAGGCTCCCATGAATTGCTGCCGACTGCAATTCTGCCGAACGAGGCAATGCGGGCCTCACGCGCGCACGTCGAACGCACATGCAACACAAGCATCGCTCATCCGTCTGCCAACGAATGCACTCCGGAGCAACAGCGCGCGCGTTGCCGCGCGCGTGCCGACGCTATTGTATAAACCACTGGTTTCACCGCTGTGTCAAGATGTGCTCAAACACGCGTGGAGCCAAAAAGGTTCCAGGCAGACATGTGGATGTCTGCAGCCGCACCTCCACATCATCCTCACCATCACCATCACCATTACCAGCATCAGCATAGTCATACTCATCGTCAGCAGTATCGCAATAATCATCATCATCATCATCATCATCATCATCATCATCATCATAATCAGAATCAGCATCACTATCATCATCAGCATCATCATCGTCATCATCATCAGCAACATCATCGTCATCATCATCAGCAACATCATCGTCATCATCATCCTCTTCATCATTATCGGCGACATTATTGCTTTCATCAATGTCACTATCATTATCAACACCACCATCATCTTCACCACCACCACCACCGTCGTCGTAATTACCACTGTCATCAGCATGACCACCATCAACATCATTGTCGTCATCGTGATTATCGAGGTTCTCGTCATCATCGCCACCACCAACTCTACCATGATTACCATCGTCGACGATGTCGTCGTCACCACCACCTGGGCGGCCGAGCCATGGATGTGCATGACAAGGGTCCTCGCATCTCTGCGTCAGTTGAGTTTTGCCAATGCTTTGCTTGTGGTCGGGTGAGATTTCTGCTCGAACATTGGAGTTGACAATTCCACATTCTTCCGAAACGAATAGCGCCACGTACTTTTCTTCCCAAACGTAGCAGCACGTAGCTTGCAACACATTTCTGGCAGCACGTATATTGTAAGAAACTGCTGCGCAACATGGATTGCTCACCATAGGATCATGTACTGCAACATGCAGACTTGACCTCATGGAGAGAAAACAAGCCTTGCCTTCCCAGCTTAACTGGAAATAGGTGTCAAGGGACTGGCCGCAAGACCCGCCCAGCTCTGAGGCCGCCCATGCCTAAATGCGGCGGTGCTGGTGGTGGCTGGACGTGCTGGGTCCAGCAGGTCCGCCGGCCCACGACGCCCAACCTCCGCTCGAACCTTGGTTCTCATGCTGACACCATGGAGCTCGTGGAGAAAAAGGCGCGGGACGCTGGTGGGCCGGGCGAGTGGGTTCCCGACGCGTCTCTGCCTCCTCACCGCCAGCCACCGCGCGAACTGGTCTGACACAGGGGAGCGAAAAGAGAGACCCGGGGAGGCGGCTCGGAGAGCCAGAGGGGGAAGGCCACAGGGCTGGGACCCCGTTAGGCATCGAGAGTCCGACATGGGGGGCGCACTTTCCTCGAGCGGGCACGCGCGGAACGCATTTTTTTCTATCCAGACTGCTATTTTGCCTGTTCTGTGTCGCGCGGAAATTCGCCAACCTCCCTCAGGCACGCCACGGCGACGACGACGACGACGACTCGTGGGGGGTCAGCTACACGCAGGAGTGACCCTGGGCAAGAGTGACCTTTGGTGCACGGCTTTTGGAGGGCCGCGGGGGGGGGGGGGGGGCAAACACAAGCGAGGAAGACGCTACTGCCGCACCGCACGCGACGATCGGAGGGCCCCATTGGGCCGCGCACCAAAGGTCACTCCAGCGAAGGGTCACTCAATTCGTGCAGTCGAGGGGGGGGGCGCCGGGCCCTGGGGCACGCCAGCGCCGGCGCGGATTTCAGTGCGCGCCCTGGCCTTCTGCACCAGCTGCTCCAGGCCGTCTCGGCCCACCTGCGCCGTCTGCCCCCGGCCGCCGGCGGCGTGCGCCGCCTCCGGGCCGTCCCCCGCCGCCTGGGTTCGGTCGGGCGTGCCCTCCTGCAGGCGGATTTTGGACGGAAGCTAAAAACATGTAGTAGACTTTCGTTCATGCCTTAAAAGAACACCGTCGACAGATCGCCCCATACACTATTCTGCCTGACTGACTGAATTCCTCCCGTAGCGGGACGGGCCCGACCGAACGCCTGGGCCGCCTGCTCCCGGCGGTCCTCGGCCGCCGGCGTGCGCCTCGGGGCGGCGTGGCCCCGCGGGCTGGGGCTGCTGGTGGAGCTCGAGGAGCCCCCGCAGGAGGCCTCCGGGATGCCGGGGGTCGCGCTGCTGGAAGCGGCCCCGCCTCGGAGGCCCGCCGTCACGGCCACAGGTCTGATCCGCCCTCCGCTCCGCCTCTCGCCCTCCCAGCCCCTCACTCGTCCCTCCACCGGGGAGGAAGGGGGGGACGGGGGGGAATGATCGGACCGGTGGTTTCCACGAGGGTAGTTACTGTATAGGGGGTAGCGTGGGTGCGTGGGTCCTGATACGCTCATGTGAATATATGTGTACACACATCTATATGTACATGGCATGTGCGTGCCCAGGCTCGTTGTATGTTGTGTATGTGGGTTGTGTGTTGTACGTGCTATGTGTGAGGGATGTGTGGGTTATGTGTATTCTGCGTGAGATGTTTGGGTGTATATAGAGTGTGCGCTTTGTGTGTTGCTTGAGATGGATGTGTTGAATGTGATGCGTTTGTGTGTGTGTGTGCGAGTGTGTGTGTGTGTGTGTGCACTCTCTCTGTGTTGTAGCTGTCGTGTGTTGTGCTTTCTGTGTGCTGTGTGTTGTGTGTTTTGTGTGGTGTGTGGGCGTTCTGTGTATTCTGTGCGCGTGTTGTACGTTGAGGCTCGGCTTTGGGAGGATGTCTCAGGCGAGTCTGCCTTCTTCTAAGAATCGCGTTGAAAACGGGTCCGATGTTTGGAGATGTGTCTCAGGTGAAACTGCAATTTTCTGAGAATCAGGATCACCAACATTGAATTCCACGTGTGTTGAACATGTTTGTAATGTTGGACAACCACTTTGAGTTTGGACCGTGATGTCACGATCTGCGTGAGGGTTGCGTTCGGTTTTCAGAGTGTTGGAGATGCCCCGAGCGAAACGGCCAGAAACATGAACGCGGCTTCACACGTAATCGCCTCTGAGCTCTGCTCCTTCGGAGAGGTGCGTAGAGTTAATATGTACGTATACACATACACATCTGTCTATGGATTCTCTTCTATATTTATATAGAACCTCCAGCGCTGTCGTTGGCTCTGGCGCGCAGCAGGCTGATGAGCTTGCCCTGGCCCAAGATCTTTTGCACCTGCTGCTTGAACCTGACACCCTCCCCTTTCCTGAGGCTCTCTCTGGTCTTCAAGCGCTCCGTCTCCTCATGATGGAGGAACACCAAACAGATTGGCGGGAGAGGGAGGGATGGAGGCAGGGAGGGAGAGGGAGGGAGAGGGAGGGAGGGAGAGGGAGGGAGAGGGAGGGAGGGATGCAGCTCGGGCG